CAAATCAGATTTGACTGGTATAGGAGGAGATTGTTCCTCCTTCTCCAGCAAAGCATCTGGTGGTTTTGAACCGCACACCTCTGGGATTGCAGTGTAGCTTCTTGCCACTAGGCCACCAGAGCTCGCCACATTTACTATATTTCTAATAGTAACAAGACATCCAATCTCTTTGGTTAGTTAAAGGCATCTAACATTTGCATAATAGGAAGCTCTGGTGGCCAGGTGGTAACAACTGCCCTGCAATCCCGAAAGCACATGGTTCGAAACCACTAATGGCTCCACAGTAGAATGGTCAGTCTCCTCCCGTTTGATTAATTGCTTCTAAAAACCCACTGGAGGGTCAGCTATGAGCCAATTATGACTCGTAGGTACACAACAGTAAACCTAGTTATAATCCTTTTCAGACCACAGCTGAAGAGGGCTGATTCAGACCAGCCAACCTCCTGTCCAAAGGCACTCAGCTTGCCTGTTTCATGGGCTTAGGAAACCCAGCACATTGTCTTCTATTGCTGCTTCTCACTGTCTGCTGTTTCCACCCGGTCTCCTGGGTTAAGGAGGGATTCAACAGAGGGATACCAGGTCCAGAGGACAGCTCCATCCCCCTGTTTCCTTGGTGGTCATATGATCCCCTTTTCTACCTCTTGGATGGCTCATTTCAAGCCTAGTTGGATGGCAACACTGACTGATTTCATAATTATGATTCCACATCCTTATATTCATAGTTACACTCCAGAAAAGATGTTACACGCCTTATCCACTTATTAGAAAGGTGTCCAATCTCTTTGTTATGAGAATCATATTTGTATAGCCCCCCCTAACTATTTGATAGAAATTAAGATTATGGCGCACTCCTTCACTGCTGTTCAGATGGTTCTGTATCATAGAAATCTTCCAGGGGAGCTCTGGTGGCCTAGTGGTAAGGAGCTGCCACTACAAGCCCAAAGCCACACGGTTCAAATCCACCAGATGCTCTGCCGAGGAAGGAGGGACAATCTCCTCCTGTACCAGTCAGATCTGATTTGATGGTACACGCACACAAAAATAATAAAATAAAAATAAAAAAAAATCTTCCACTAGATTTCCAAGGCTGTAAATCTTAACAGGGGAAAAGAATGTCCTATTTATTGCTATTTTCACATTATTCGTCCAGTGTTAACTCACACTTATTGAAATTGTATTTCTAGGTTTAAGCCTTTCCTGTAGTATTTGTTATTATAAACCACAAGTTCAGTGAGTATTATAATCAGAATGACTGTCTCTTCATGTATGGAATTTCATACTGAGTAAGGGACTCTGGTGGCGTAATTAATCATTTCATTACCAACCACAAGGTCAGTGGTTTGAACCCACCTGTTGCTCTGAATGGAAGCAATGTGGTCATTTGTTTCAGTCTTAGAAACCCCACTGGGGAAGTTCACTCTGTGGCACCAGTTTCCTACGAGTTGGAATTGACTTAATAGTTTGGGGTGTTTTTTTTTTTAGTTTTTTAGTATATCAAATAATGAATGAGAAGCTCAAGATCTGACAAGGGAGAGAAAGTCTTCTGAATGTCATCATGTTCATGCCATCTTACTCTTGCATGAGTTTTTCAATGTATATATTAAGAACTCTAAATGGGGAGGTTTCCCTGTGTTCTCTGCACTATTATGATCTCTCGCCTGTGTGGATTCTGTGATGAGTAACAAGACTACGTTTGTGTGAACAGGGCTTGTCACATTCAGTTCATACACACACACATACACACACACACATATATACACACACAGAGTCTTTCCGTGTTACATCTCTCATGTTGTTGTGAGATATATCATCTGGCTTTCTTTGTTGCCTTCAAGGGGTGCCTTCATTTATGAGCATTGCACAGAATACCACAAGTGGTTAGCTTTGTAGACGAGAAATTTATTTCCCCACACTTCTGAGTGTTGAAGTCAGTCTCAGCCATGCCAGTTTCCTCTGTGAGTCTTTCTAATAGTTCTTGTTGTCTGTCAATGGTCCGGGTGTGTCTGTTTATAAATGGGTCTCACATGTGGTCCTCCTCTATATATCTGCCCGTGTTTATTCTAGTCTAACTTGGGAAGTCACTAGTTTTAAGATCTACCTTACACTAGAATGACCTCAAATAAGTAGTTGATCATATTAGAATAGATTGCATTTGGAAGATGATTAATTATGGAAAGTTGGACAATGAATAAGAAGATATGAGAAGAAACAATCACTGTGTCAATGAAGAATATTGGATATACTGTGGGCCACCAAAGGAGCAGACAAGTCTGCCTTGAAGAAAATGCAACCAGGATGTTCCTTAGATGCTACGAGGGTGAGACTTCATTTTATATCCTTTGCATAGGTTGCCTGGACGTTCCAGTCCTTGAGAGAAGACCTCATGCTGGGAAAAGCAGAACGTCAACCAAGTTAGGAAGACTTCCCATGAGAGGGAGTGATGACACAATAAAATGACTTCAGCAATGGATGTGAAAGTGGCAGAGATCATAAGCCTGGTGCAAGACAGGGTAAGGTTCACTCTGGTTCATGGAGTTGCTAAGAACCATCACTGACCCAACACCACATAATGACAACAGTGGAAGGTTACCTGCTCTACCCAAGATCAACCGATTTAATCATAGGTAACCACTCTATAGGGTCACTTTGGATCAGAAGAGACTGGTTGTTTGATTTCTGGGGTTTTTAAATTGTTGCTATTATGTGCTGTAGAGTTGCCTGAGACTTATAGTAACCCTGTGTACTCTGAAGACTTCCCTGTCCTGAGCCAGCCTCACTTACCCCCATTGCTCTCGTTACTGTGTCAATCCATCTCATCTGGGGCTTCCTCTCCTGTGCTGTCCCTCCACCCTTCCGAGCATGATGCCCTTCTCCAAGGACTGGTCCCTCCTGGCCATGTGCCCAAAGTATGTAAGATGGAGCTTCAAAAACCTAGCCTCCAAGGAGAAACTTGGTTTAACCTTCTCCAAGACCTATTTGTTTTCTTGGCGGCCCATCGTATGTTCAAGACTCCTCTCCAACACCACAACTCAAAGGCATCGGTTCTCCTTCTGTCATCCTTAGTCATTGTCCAGCTCTCTTATGCACAGCAAGTAACTGTGAAGACCATGGCCTGGATCAGGCACACCTTAGCTTTTAAACTGACATCGTTGCTTCCTTATACTCGGATTAATTATCAATACCAATTAACATCTGACCAAACAACTGAGAAACACATTCCAGTAAGGGTACCACATGGAATGAGTCATCTAATAATGTCTCTCTCCAGGGTAAATTCACTTATGTATAATGAGAGAGTGTGTTTTGTTCCAAGGCCTTTTCAAAGGCATTGTCCAAAAAGGACCGGTCTGCCGTGAGTCTGCTGATGTATAACGAGCGTACGCTTCACAGTGAAGCCTTTGCCACAGTCTCCACATATAAATGACTTTTCCCCTGTATGACACCGCTGGTGATCAACCAGGTTACTCTTCCTAGCAAAGCCCTTCCCACATTTGGTGCATGTATAGGGCTTCTCCCCGGTATGAGTTCGCTGGTGTGCAATGAGCCCACTCTTCCCGCTTAAAGCTTTGCCACACTCGCTGCACACGTAGGGCTTCTCCCCGGTGTGCGTGCGCCCGTGCACCTTGAGGTGGCTCCTGCTTGCAAAGTGCTTCCCGCACTGTTTGCACTTATAGGGCTTCTCTCCCGTGTGCGTTCGCCGGTGTCCAATCAGCCGGCTCTTGGCTGAGAAGCATTTCCCACACTCGCCGCACATGTAAGGCTTCTCTCCAGTATGAGTTCGCTGATGTTCCACCAGACGGCTCCTCACCAGGAAGCCTTTCCCACAGTCACTGCACACATAGGGCTTCTCAGGCGTGTGGATACGCTGGTGTCTGACGAGACAGTGCTTCATGGAGAAGCCTTTGCCGCACTCGCTGCACGTGTACAGCTTCTCCTCTGCGTGGGTTTGCTGGTGGGTCAGGAGCCTGCTCTTCAAGGTGAACCGTTTCCCACACTCCTCGCACAAAAAGGGTTTCTCTCCGGTGTGTATGAGCTGATGGGCAACAAGAAGCCTCCTCTCCACGTAGCCTTTTCCACACTCGCTGCAGGTGTACGGCTTCTCTTCCCTGTGGGTCTTCTGATGAGTGGTGAGACTGGACTTGGTACAGAAGGCTCTCTCACACAGATCACACCCATGGGGTTTCTCTCCCGTGTGAGTTCGCTGGTGGTAAATAAGCAAATACTTCTTGCTGAAGGCCCGCGCGCATTCATTGCAAGCATATGGCTTCTCGACCACATGAACCTTCTGATGCACGTTGAGCTGTGACTTCTTGAGGAAGGTCTTGTCACAGTGGGGGCACTCGTAGTGTTTCAGTCCTGCGTGAGTTCTCTGATGCTCCGTCAGGGTGTACTTTCGAGAAAACGCTTTCCCACACGTACTGCACCCATGCGGTTTCTCTCCTGTGTGAACCAACCGGTGATCAAGGAACTGAGATTTCTTACTGAAGGCTTTTCCACATTCACTGCAAACGTGTCCACTTGTTATTTTGGGAGTCCTCTCATGGTTCATGATCTGGGACTTGTGATTGATGGGTTTTGTGCCTGCACAGAATGTATTACCAGTGTGAAGCAGTGTGAGCTGGTCACAGATAAAGGATCGCCCCTCTTCGTTGGAATCGGTGAAGTTTTGTCGTAGGTCACAGTTCTCGTTCTGATTTTCTAAACTTAAACTTTTCCCTTGCAAGGCAAACATATCATGATGGTGCTTTGATGGAAGAGCAGGTCTTCTCTGATTAAAAATATACCCTAGTGTAGTATATTGATAGCACTCTTCCATAGACTTGTTAATTCTTTGCTCTTCCAAATGAGGCCAGAGACCATGATCACCTCTCTCAGTGTCTAAAAAGGAGAATACAACAAATTACTCTATAATCTTAGTGTGGAATATAGCTGTAGAAAAGACAGTAGTGTTGGCAAATAATAGAAGTATAAAAGAACCTCCAGGTACATGTGTTTCTTTCAGTGTCTCTCACATATTGGCAAACACACACTAGTGTAAGCACCAAAAGATAAAAGCAGTCAGTATGCAAACACCTGCTATTTACAGTTGACCTTGACTAATACAGGCTTGAACTGTGTGGGAACATTTATATGCATTTTTTTCCTGTTGCTATGATTCAACAATAAAAAAGGATGATAGACACTTGATAAAACAAAATTGACTGCAACGATGGTTTCTTGTTTTGTGTATAAAAAAGAAAACTCATTGAAAATGCACTTGAATTTTTCTGGGAAATAAAAACGTCAGGAAAATTAATGACCTGGTTTATAGTGGGAATTATGAAGGAAATTAAAAAGCTACCTTCCTCTTCTCTGGTTTCTCTTCAGATCCTATAAATCTTTCGCCTTATTAAAAAGCTACCTTCTTGTTAAATAATTCTGGGAGAAAGATGGGTCATCTCCACCTGTGCAATTTACTGCTTCTGAAAACCCGCTGGAGGTTCAGCTATGGGTCGGTACGACAGTACTCAATACCAACAAGGTTTATCTTTCAGATGTCTTTCCTAGCCAATCGTTAACTGTTTATTTTATGCTGAAGTAATTATCACATTAAGGAGAAATGGTGAGGATGGGATACAAGCCTCACCTTACAGCAGACTTCTATAAGCTCACGGGACCTCAGTACCAGGCATTTTCTCTTGTGGAACACTTGCTTAAGACACAGTATTCAGCTTCCATCACAGTTGCCCTTCAGCTACGCCACAACTGACAGTCGACAGGATCCTGGCCCATTGTTCACCAGTCTCTGCATCACCAGCCTGCATTACTAACTCTCACCATCTAGCTGCACCACAGCTGACAATCTCCAGGAACCTGGCCTGTCTACAGGAGGTGGCTCACCAATTCCTCCAACACTAGCCTGGATCCCTCCCATCACACGAATCATTCTCCAAAAGGTCTGAGTCGTCTGGAAGACCCAGTGAAACACTGAACCCAAGGGCCATAGAGGAATCGGGTAACTGAGCCATGGACGGAGCTGGTAATGTTACAAATTACGGATTCATTCAATGGTTCAGCATCTGGGACTACACTGACCTGAGGCTTTTCGTAAATATCCTTATAATAAAAAAAATCAATCTTAGCAGGATGAATTCTAAAAGCAACAATACAATGAACAAATACTGTCATGAAGGAATCTCAGAAAAAGAAATATTCAAGAATAAAGAAATACCAGGTCAGTTGGAATTTAAGATGGACAGTTCTAAAGGGTACTGGATGGACAGTTCTTGGAAAAAGTATGACTTATGTTGTTTGTATAGGAAATTGGAAGATACAGGTCATTTCCCATGGAGACAAGTGAAAAGCACATGCAGAGTGATGGATCACTTCCATATGGCTTTTCTCACGTTGGTCTTATAAGTCCCAGTGAATAGCTGGGTAGGGTTATATAAATGAGGTTTACAGGGCCCACCAAAAGGATGAACAGCTTGCTAATTATGCAAACAGTATTACCTAGTGGGATAGGAAGGTATATGGGTCTGAAAATAGTACATACAAAGTTCTCTGGAAATGTAAATGTCATATGAAGATAGGTGGAAGGAACAGACAAAGACACTGATTATGACAGTGGACAAAGGAAAGGAGAGAAAGAAATCCTACAAGGGAGAGGAAATGTGTGTAAATAAATAATAAAACCATGGTAAGATGAAAAACATGAAAGAAACTAGGGTACAATTGCAGAATATAAAAAAGGGGGATGTTTCCTTCTAAAGAAACATCTTCTCACATGACAAAAGAGCTTCAGTGTCAGCTGAGCCATCTCGGACATTGAGAACGTCTAGGACGACTTCCTCAAGCACCCACCTGCTGGTTCCCACTCACGCACCTGAACAAGTCTGATGGTGGGATTCATCTTCTGTGAGCCACAAATCTTCTCCACCTTCCAACCTGAAGAGTACATCCTGTTCACTAGCTTGATACCCTGTACATGAAAAATGGCAGAGGACGGACACATATCAAAATGGTGAATGGTACATCAAGAAAGAAAAACAAGGGAGCTCTGGTGGCCTAGTGGCAAGAAGCTGCACTGTAATCTCAGAGGTATGTGTTTCAAATCCACCAGATGCTCTGCTGGAGAAGGAGGGGCAATCTCCTCCTGTACCAGTCAGATCGGATTTGACGGTACACACATACACAAAATAATAAAAATAATTTTTTAAAAAAAGAAGAGTTGCACTGCAATCCCAGAGGTACGCGGTTTGAGTCCACCAGATGCTCTGCTGGAGAAGGAGGGGCATTCTCCTCCTGTACCACTCAGATCCAATTTGATGGTACACGCACAAAAAGTAATAAAGTTTAAAAATTTAAAGGAAAAAAAAGAAAGAAAGAACAGCATTGTATTTGAGGACTACAGAATTTTAACGTCTGCAAAGTGGAGGTTTATCTCTCACATGGGGAGAATCATATCTTCTTTTGCTTGGAGGACACAAAGGTTCTAAGAATCTGTCATTTCATTTCAGGGCTTCGAGTTGGAATCCCTGCTGAGAACTTGCATTTCCATATGAGCTGTACGGACTCACGGTCAGTACTGTAATAAGATATTCAGGTGATGCTTGTTGTTAAGGGCCGTCGAGTTGCAGGCGACTCATAGCGACCCTATGAAGGAGAGTCCTCAACGCTTGGGTATCTCTCATCCTCTCTCCAGGTGCATAGAACCATGCATGACTCCATTGGTGGTTCTCAGAACTTGCCTGTAACCAGTAGCATTAACAGTGCCTGGGCACTTAACTGCTATGTACCATTAAGTTGGAACCCACTCAAAGCTGACCCTCCAGAGGCTGTAAAAACAAATGCACAGGAGGAAACTGCGCATCTTTCTCCCACGGAGCAGCTGGTGAATTCAAACCATGTACCTTTGGGTCGGCAGCACAATTCCTTACCACTAAACCACCAGCACTGGAACTTGTTTGTTGTTGTTATGTGTCACTGCACTGAGCACTGTTATGTACAACTCATAGTATCCTATGTACAACAGCTCTGAACCCCACCCTGTCCTGAGCCAATATCACTGTGTCCGACACACCTACCCTCTTTACCCCACTCACTGTGTCAGCCCATCTCATCTGGAATCTTCCTCTCCTGCGCTGTCCCTCCACCCTTTCAAGCATGATGTCCTTCTCTAAGGACTGGTCCCTCCTGGCCACATGCCCAAAGTAAGTGAAACGGAGTTTCAAAATCCTTCTGTCCAAGAAGCAGCTTGGTGGGAGCTCTGGTGGCCTAGTGGCAAGAAGCTGCGCTGTAATCCAGAAGGTGTGTTTTTCAAATCCACCGGATGCTCCGCTGCAGAAGGGGGGGGGGGCAATCTCTTCCTGTGCCAGTCGGATCTGACTCGATGGCACACAATTTAAAAAAAAAAGAAAACCGGAAGCAGGAGCAGGAGCAGCTTGGTTTCACCCTCTCCAGGACAGATTATTTGTTCTCTTGGCAGTCCATAGTATATTCAATAGTCTTCTCCAGGACCACAACTCGCCTTCATTTTTTTCACCTATAATCCTATTTATTGTCCACCTTCTGATACATAGCAAGTAATCATGAAGACGTGACTTGGATCAGGCACACTTTAGTCTCAAGACTGACACTGTTGCTCTTCAGCACTCTGGAGAGTTCCATGATCCATGACAACAAATTTTCTTAATGCAAGTTAGTCTTTTTATTTCTTGACTGCTGGTACCAAGAGTGTTGATTTGGAACCAAGGAAGCTGAATTGTTAACAACCTCAATCTCTTCTCTATCACGGTGCTGTCAGTTGGCCCAGTGGTGAGAATCTCTGTCTTCTTGATGTTGAGTTTCAATCCATACTGAAGACTACCGTTCTTGGCCTTCTGCAAAAAACACCTCAGGTCCCCCTCAGTTTCAGCAAGCAGAGTTGTGTCATCTGCATAATCCAGGTTGTTGATGAGTCTTCTTACAATCCTGATGCCACATTCCTCCTCATAAAGTTCAGTCTCCTGAATGATCTGTTCTAAATATTGATTAAAGAGGTATGGAGGGACCCCCCCTCAAAAATATAAATAAAACAAAAAGTTTGGACATAGAACACATCCCTGAACCATATCCATCCTGATTCTGAGACACTTGTGTTTCTTTGCTCTCTTCTGATGATTGGCTCCAAGTCCAAGTATAGGTTTCCATGAGCACAATTAAGTGTCCTGGGATTCCTATTCTTCTCAAAGCTACCAGTTTGTTATGATCCACACAATCAAATGCCTTTGAATAGTCAATGAAACATAGATTGATGTTTCTCTGGCACTCTGCTTTCAGCTAAGATCTATCTAATATTGCTTATAACGTCCTTACTGCCATAGCCTCGTCTACATCCAGCTTGCATATTTGGCAAGTCTCTGTTCTGTTTTAATAGTTTTTTTAAAAAACAAGCTTCAGCAGGATCTTGCTTGTGTGTGTTATCAGTGATAGGGTTTGGTAGTTTCCACACTGTATTGGATCATCTTTTTTTGTAATGGGAATAAATATAGATTTCTTCCAGTCAGTTAGCTGCGTAGTTGTCCTCCAGATTTCTTGGCACAATATGGTTGTAGCAACATTTGTTTGTTGAAATACCTCTATTAGTTTTTCGTCAATTCCTGGGGCTTTGTTTTTGGTCAATTCCCTCAAAGCAGCTTGAACTTCCTCCTTCATGGCAAATTCTGGTCTAAACCAAAACTACTGCATCTGAAGTCCTGCTTAAGAGGAGAA